TGGCCCAGTTCCCTTTGCTCTTGCACTGCACTGGGCACCTGCCAGGGGCTAAATATCCCAGCTGCTTAGATAATTACATATTTATGATTTTGCCGAGAATTCTTAGTCAAAGCTTATTTTTGCACTGTAAAATGCTTAGAGAAACAGCAGAGAAAGTTCTCTGACAAATGCTACTTCAAAACAGAGCCAACACTTAAATTTTTTTAAAGGACGTTCATTTCCGTTGCAGTTGATTCATTCAGTGGTGAACTTTAATGGCAGAAAAAGGAAAGAGATCTTGCTAGTGTGTTTAACTTGCTCTCTGTAAGGAAACAGAAAATTCAAAAACCCTTCCAAAAATGATTCAGAATAGTGTACATAAAATTTTTAATGCTTACCACAGTTTGCACCCTACCACATGATGGAACTTTTCTTCTGTATCACCTTATTAGTAGTATTTCCTCTTCCACACATAAACCACTAGATTAGCTAATTCATGCTGATCCAATAAACAGAACTGATGTGTGAACATTTTGAAATATAATTGTTTAGCCACAAAAATTATCATACAAAATACATTGCACTTCACCTTCCCTCATTGATAATAGCATCCACTGATTTCAGAAGGAGCAAAACAGCTCAAAATTTCATGTTGTTGGTTATTTTAGACTATTTCAGAACCTTCTAGAAATATTTTTTTTCCTTTTAAGGCTGCGCTCCATAAACTGTACAACCAACAGCCTCAACAATAAATTTCATGAGCACTTTTAGGCCCTACTGTTCAAAGTGCTTTCAAGCTTGGTTAGCTTTATGCATGCAAGTACTCCTTATTTATATTGCAAAAGAACTACTCCTACACCAAAAATTACATGTAGGCACATGCATTTGTATTTCACAGAATAAGGGCCTTAGTCTTGTGGAGTTATTTATTTTAAATCAATTATTCTAGGTTCTTGAGGGCAACATCTTTAGTCCTGTCAAGTTTCATAAACCCTGCAAATCAGGGGTCCGTGTTCTCAGTATGACAACTGACCTTCAGCTCCACCACCTTACAAAGAGCTGCTCATCTGCAGATACTCATTTTATATACCTCTAGCTGAGAGATGCCATTCAGTTTGTCTTGAAACAAAGCCAATTTTGCAATTCCAGTGCAAAAACCTTGGAGCTAGAGGCACAGACCTCCAGCTGTCCTTGTCAAGTGCCAGTAGAGACAAGGCTTCCACACCAAACCCAACTCTCCAGCTCATATCCCCTCCCTTAGTCGCCTTCCTTTGCATGGAAGCATTTCAACACACTGGCCTGGCAGAGTAGTATTTGGATGGGTTTAGCTGCTGGGAAGCACAGGCTAATAGTTACATCCATTTATTCATTTACCTGTCTTCTAAGGAGTGTGAAGGCCACAGGACTATCTGAAGGCACCACAAAGACATTCAAATTAAAAACAACTTGCTGCAGTCTTGGGGAAATTTTTGCAGACATCTTCCAGTGCCTTCACTTTGGAGTGAGTCACTCATTCTCCCCAGCTCCTCCAAGCCCTCCTGCTGTTTCTGAACTAAATCCCCTGTAGAAAATTACAGTGAAATGTTGCACCCATGGATTTGCTGGCCCAAGAGACTCAGTGCCTCAAGAGCTCTTCTATCCCATCTCTTATGAGTAGGAACAGTTGACATAACACACAATAGGTGTATTACACCCTCAAAACACAGTATAATGTGTTCACCTAGAAGTAAGCAGCACTGAAAAGAATGGATTTAAATCACCTACTTGGTATTCCCCCCAAGACTGTGAGGACATGCCTTAGCTGTTGATGACTCCGCTCGCCTGGGGACTCAGTAATTTTGTGTTCACTGCCTATCCTCAGACCTTACCTGTGCCAGGTAGTAATAAACAATAACAACCTCTATTCTCTTGGGCATTAGACCTTTTTAACTGATCAGGGTGTTGATCTTTGTCAAACCATCCACGTATAGCCTCAGAACATGGACACTGTTTTCCAGGATGCCTGTAAGAAGGCCACCACATGGCCTAGCTTGAGTCCTTCACAGCTTTTTCTGGTTACCTCTGCAAAATTAAACCTATCCCAGCAAGATGTCATGGGACAGTCACAAACTGGTAGTTCCCACCTTTCTGTAAGCTCCTGGGTTTTGCACAGTCCAGTCTGTATTTCTAAATTTAAATATACATCTGTATGTGTGTATAAATACATGCACAGATAAGCACACTCCTATATTCCCACATTATTTATGTGAACACACAAACCTGCTTCAGTGACTTGCAAAGGCAGAAAGGCAAACTGGTTTGCGTCCAAAACTCACAAAAAAAGCAAGACACAATGGAAAATCTTTCTTGGGTAAGCTACAAGTTCCATTACATAATAAGAACATTTATTTGCTAAAGCCCTTGTTGAAATCCTGATGTCATCTTTTGCTTAGACCAAAGATCCATGACTTCAGATCTTTACTTCCGACACATTCATTAATTCCTGTGACCACAGATTAATTACCCAGTTATCAGCCTCTACATGAACCTTCAAAATCCTAGAAAAGTAGCATTAGACACTTAGTTTCCTGCAATTACCAGGCCTTTTTCAGTAAGCCCTTTGCACCTCTCCTTTGACATGGTGAGAACATTAAATTTGGCTAGAAAAATGGGAAGGAGAACTTACACCCACTGAATACAGCCATGCTATATCACAATATCAATATTTGATTTTCTAAAGAATTGCCAACAACTACAATAATTTTTAAAGAGTAACTAGCATTTTACCCTATTTGGTTTATCAGTTAACATATACATAACATATGTATGCATATCATAACGTAATAGGATGCAAAAAATAAGCTTCTTTTAATTACCTTGAAAATTGAAAATCTAAGAAAACAACAGAAGAGGATGGAGTATGTGTAAATTGTTATTTTGGGTGGTTTTACTACTGAGAAATGGAACTGACAATTAGGATTTAAACATGACCAAAAATGCTATAAGCATTTCTCAAGGGAATAAGAAATTAATTTCTTATTCAAATATATGTGTTGAACATGGGCAACCATGGTTAAAGCAAGGCCTTTCTAGGGCATGTACAAAACCTGCTTTCTTCAGCAACCTCTGGGCCACACTTTGTTTACACACAGCAAAGAGAAAAACATAATAAAACCTCTAAAAGTCTTTTTTACTGTACAGGTTTAGTTACAATTCGGGGATGGTAAAAAATCTGTCTAGCTTGTCTCTTAAGTCTACATTCAAACTATCTCCAAGTTAATCAGAGGTGAGTAATGGTTTAGAAATCTCTTGAATAATAAAGTGTAACAACTTATAGCACAAAAACAGCCCTCAAAGACAAGAGTGGGGAGTACTTCACCTCACTGCAAGTAACAGTTGAGTATGTTTTATGATCACTGTAACAACTACCATGCCCTTGAGACTTTGCAATTCTGAATTTCTAATATAATTTGTAGGGGGAAAATTAGGACAAAATGCAGTAACATTTCAAGTACAGTCTCACAGTATTTTAAAATTTTATGAAGTATAAGGACTAGGTTAATATGAAATGAGTCGTGCTTTTAAGAGAGGCAGTAATACAGATCAGTATCTTAAATCACAACTAAAATAACTCAACCACTACAAAATAAAAAGAAAACAGAGCAGCATTTTGCTGGAAAAAGGTCAACAACAACAATGAAGATTTAACAATACTAGAAAAGGCTGAGAGCACTGCTCATTTCAGGACCAAGAAGTAAAAATACCGCTCTGAGTGACCAGATAAATACTATTCTTTCTCACTCAACAACTCCATTCCCACCACCTGGAGTTCATCCCAAATTAATATAAACTCTACTCATATAAACTCTGAGCCCAAAAACCAGACTATTAAACAACATACAGCCTTGGTGCAGATCTTCTGATTTCAGAGGAATATTTGCTTTACTTTGTGACAAATATATTACATTTCACTCCGTGGTGTCTTTGGGAGTTAACAGAATTGCTCACTACCTCAAAGTGAAGGAGTTACATCCACACAAACTCTCTTTGAGCATCATTTTCCTCACAGGGCAAAGACAGTGCAGTTGCAAAGGTATAAATAAGTGAGGCTGTAATTGATTTACTCTTTAGATCCATTTCTACATGCAAACCAAGGGAAACCAGCTCAGCTCTCAGCTCCAAAATTGAGTTTTCAAAGCAAGTGGTTCAAAACATTACCTCTTTAACTTCTGTACTGAGCACAACAAGAGAAAGATGTTTAAATATAGAATTCACACGGGCACTTTATGCATTTAATTCTTAAGGCTAATGCTGAAGGTACCACTCTTATACACCTCAACTGTGACAACATAAGATACCAAAACTGCTAAAAAAGAGGTTGCTTGATCAAAGCTGAAGCAGCAAGTTCCAGTCCTTCCCTTCAGGCCTCAGCTCTGCATTCCATCTGCACAGCTATCAGGAAGCACCAGCAAACCATAAGGATAGCCTGAAAATATGAATTTGCAGCAGTCTGTAACACTAACATTCAGAGATGGAATAAGATTGCCCCTTTCTACAGAAGCTAAGATTTTAACTTCACTGGTCCAAAACTGCCAAATGGGCTGAAGTAAAATACACCTGACAATGCAGAGCTGATTTAGGGTTTTTTTCTGGAAAAGCTGTTAGTATTGAAACAAACTCCAGACAGCACCCACGTGGGGACAACAGAACATTCAGCTTGGCTACAGCTCACCCCAACCAGGCTCTTGGCCAAAAGAGGAAGCAACACCAGTTACCAACAGGATGAGCTATGTTACTGTCAAGTCACTCTTCTCACTTCAAAATGAACATGCTGCCCCTATTTCCACAGGATAAAACCAAGTGCAATTGTAATATTTCTGTCAAACAGCATAATGGTCTAGATGTTCCTTAAAAAATGAAAGTAATCCACTTGAATACTAAAAAGTAGTCATTCTAAAAATACTATTTGCAGTGTAAGCCTGCTAATGGCATGTGTGCAGAGAGAAACCACGCCACCTTTAGTCAGTCAAAAAAGTACTTACCATTGGCAGTGCATTGATATGCAGAAGTTTTCCTTTCGGGTGCCTCTTGCCACAGAAGGGTGATGCTGGCAGGGAAATAAGGAGACAAATAGGAAACATTAGTATTTATTATCTTGAAACCACAGCTACCAACATCTAAACATTTTGAAAAGCCCCAAACAAAAATCAACATTCCAATGGTATGACTTCCAAAATGGTTACACTGACTGTGAAACAGTAAAAGAAAAATCTGTTTTCCTAACACATCTTGCACTAAGTAACTCAATTTATGTACACAGGTGTGCCCATGAGCCCAAAGAGTTACCAACTCCAGCATGACCTCAATGATTAAAAAAACCACCAGCTCACACTAATTGCTAGAAAAACCACCAGCTCACACTAATTGCTAGCAACGCTTGACAACATGTAAATAACAGAAATCTTCGTAGTGCAAAATGCAAGAGAAATCTTGTCCACCTTTAAAACCCAAACAAAAACACAATCCAAACAAATCCACACTCTCCTACATTTTAATAATTTTCTTTACATGTCAATAATAATTTTATGCAACCTACAATAAAATAACTTAAGTGTAAGCACACAGCTTTTGACGTCCAGATATGAGGTAACTCCATCCACTACAACATTCATTTTTATTCAGCAGTGACAAACGATTTTTATCCACACTAATATCCCTGAGTGGTTGCCCTCCATATAAACACTTGCCAGACGACTTTTCTTTAGGACATAATCTAATCACCCACTCAAAGAGCAGGAAGGGTGACAGATGGACATGGGTGACTAATGAAGTATTACCAGACTATTTTTAGATTAAATTCTTTACCAAGCATCTGCAACCTGTGGTCAAAAAACTTTTACTATGAGTAAAGAGTAACTACAGTTTGTGGGACTCATGATTAACACGAGGTTCTCACGTGCAATTTACAAGCTCAACCAGCAGGAAATCATTCATTATAGAGCCATTTTTGGACCCAGCCAAAAAAAAAAAAAAAAAACACACACAAAGGAAAAAAAAAAAAAAGCAAAATAAAAACTGCAGAATTTGGGCTTATTTTTTTCTTAGAAGATCCCACAAGGCAGGCAATAACACCACCTTCACAGTGCAAGCAAGAGGCACTGCAGAGGATGCTGAGGAATGCAGGAACGCTGGGAATTGAAAGAATTTGCAAACATGCTCTTATTTCCTTGCTTAGTTGTACTTGTGCTGCAGAAAATATGTAAATAGGCTGAGTGAAACTCCACTCCTCAAGAGGTACAGTATTCTATGCAAGGCTACTCAGGAAGTTTTTTTTTCCACAGCCAGAGATGCTGACCAGCTGAGAAGACAAAGCTTTAACACCCACTCTGCAGACCCCATAAAAACATTATTTGCTTATAACAAGAGTTTTCCTTAAAGCAGAACAAAACAGCAACCAACCAAGATTCTTTTGAGAACAATCTAAATCGTGATAAAAGCTGTGTGCAGAGAAAGGCAGAGGAGGGCCCTGCTTCTGAGTGTGACGCTTGGTTTGGGTTATTCCATTTGGGAAGGAACATTGCAAACATAAATAAAGGGATGATTGCACAGACATAAACCATTTTCTTCAAGGAAAAAAGGCTTTCTTCAGTACACACTGCCCAAACTGTCTCCTTCCAACACCTCTTTGCCCTTGTGCAATCTCGAGTGCAGTACTTATCATCGAAGCCAGAGAGGGAAACCTTTCTGCCTGATCCGTGGAAGAGGCTTCTTGTCCTTTGCTTTACATCTAAACAGGGCAGTGACACGGAAAGAAGCTGGAAGCAAAGACTCAAGAGAGCAGAGAATTAGAAAAGAAAGGGTTCACTGACTTCACTTCATTCCTCCTTCAATGTTAATTGGTTGTAGGCTCCAGTTTTAAATAAGGGCGCTTGAAGCGACGTGTAAACATTTAGAAAACTCTGCAATGTCCTTCTTCAGAATCAATCGCTGAATACAAATGCCTCATCAGCAGCTTTTTTTCTTTCCAAATTTATCTTATTGGATTTTGGCATGTACCTTGAAACAATGCAGGTGACAGTTATAATTTATTGATTTCAGACTATCTCTCACCTTTATATTCCAACATGTTACGGTGATTTAAACAGGTGCCCAGATGCAGTAACAGCTATTCTACATGACACCTAAAGGGCATCTGGTGGATTATTTTTAAGTTGGTAAGTCACACTTGGGGAATGCACAGCAGCTTGTGAGTTTGGATCCTTCATCTTGGAGGGGCTGGGAACGGCTCACCACTGCCTGTTGACTAACAGGTTCAACATCAGTTGAAAACTGCTCCCCTCAACTTGAAAAGAAAGATGATTTTGATGAGCACAGCATGTGCTCAGAGCCAGTGCTTACCAGCCTTGCCCACACCAGTTTTTTCTGCACAAAATGACATCACTGATGCCAGTGTCCCTCGGAGATTTGGGGCCAAACACTCGGTACAACACCCAACATCATCACCGTGTGAAGAGCATCCTCCCCTGCTGTGGTGCACAGGGACCAGCCACGCCCCAGGCCTTAAAGCCAGCCTGCATGAGCCAGGCATTCCCACCTGCAGGGCTAAAACCAAACCACCTTCATCAAAGCAGCAAATACCCATCCAGGCTGCCTGCACAGATTGGGCTGCTGCTATCAACCAAGTCATAATTGTGTGGTACAAAGGAAACCACAGATAAAAACAGCTCTGGCACCAACACAGTGACAGATCTGGTTATAAACACACAGACCAGACGTGCACTGATGTTAGTCCTTACCTGCTTCCAAACACAATCAAAGCAAGGATTTCTCTAAAAGCTACTTGCAGAAATGTTTAACCATTTCCTTCCAGAAATGCTGCTGTTGGTGCTACTTCCTCCTTCCCAGACATTACACTGGGTATGTGTTATGGCTAAACCAGTGTTTTTTGCACGAGATTTGAATTGCTCCTCTTCCCCATGCGAACTTGTGCTTCTTTCTAATCCTCTTAGGATCACACTGTTTAAACTACTTTCTGAGATTTTGGTGCTATTTGAGTTCTAACAACAAATTTAGTCATTAGATGTTTTGCTTTCCGAATCACAAAAGCCTTCTAAGGACACAGTATCTTTTCTTCTAAATTATCCTTGAGTATCCTGCTTTTATCTGAATTCAGTATCTGGAAAAAGTGTCCCAATCAAAACAGAATTAAAAATAACTAAATCCTGGATATTCCCCTCGGTAACTAGGCTGCAAAAACCATGAGACAATGACTTTAAAAGCCTAAATTGAAAACTAATCACTCCATTGAATCCTTCCTTTCATTTGGTTAATAGGCACATACAAAGCTAATGGTGATTCTACCACTGCTGTGCTTGGAACATAAACAGAGAAAACCGAAGTTGTTTCTTTTAATCACAGTTCCACAGTGATGTATGGCAAATTTTTTAAGCAATTCAGCACGTCTACAACAACATCTGCTTTTCAGATCTGACAGAGAGGCTGAACTGAGACAAATACCAACTCAGAAAATTCAGGAGAAACAAATACATACAAGTGAGGTGGGGATCAGCACCACACACAAGATGTCGTTAAAAAGTGTCATTACTTGAAAGTGCTAGGTAGCAATAGGGCTGCTAGTGACAAAATAACATGCACAGACTGCTCCTGTACTTCACTCTGGGAGCAGGCGTGGGCGAGGATGTTTTACAAGAAGCCTCATCAGGGGAAGCACTGAAAGTATGTAAGACCTGCCCAAAGACACATCCACACAAATTCCTAAACTCCACCTGAAACAGCTCTTCTCTGTCAATTGAGACATTCTTATTTCATGATCTTTGTTCTTTTACCTTTATTCCATCAGAAATATAGAAAAACCTGATGTAAGCTGACTTTCCAGATGTTTCAAAGAAGAAATGCTTAACTTGTGCATTCCTATCACATTAAAGCTGCACAACTTTCTACACTTCAGGAATACTTACATGGAACAAGCACCTATATGTCCATGGACATATGTGAATGAACTGCTAAAACAAAGGGTACCTGAGGGGATACAGAGTAAGAACTGGGCAAGCAGACAGCACTATTCTGGAGAAAAGTTCATCCAGATAGAGAAACCACTCATTGCAAACCCACAGAAATAGGATTCACAGTGCAATGAGAAACACAGGACAAGTCAGACCAGAGCAAAAGAATGCTGCAGAAATTTAAACACCAATTTCTGTAACAGTCAAAAACTGAGGCAATCACAGAAAATAGCTCATAGCCCACTGAAAGGGAAGGAAGCTGAACTGCTGCAGAGGAAACCAACCCAGCCAGCTCCATTAAAAGCCATAATGCACTCCAGTAATCTTGTCAATACCAATCAGCTGGTAGGAAGGCAAGCAGCACGGCAGCACCATTTCACTTGCAAGCATTTAAATGAAATTCATTAGTAAGTAATCCAATTCACGTAAACTGGAAGTTAGAAGGTCCTAGAGAATGAAGTTAAACCCAGTCTAGACTGGGAAAGAGTATAAAGAGTTATTACCCAAAGCAGTCTTATGCCAAAGGACCTTAAAGCACTCACAAAACCCCAACTCCCACCTGCAGGATAGGGGCCCACCTGTGAAAAGTTAAGGTAGTTTGCAATTTGTGGTGTTTTTCTTCCAAAAATAGTGGACATGATGACTACTGACATATTGATCAAAACACTAGCATATTGACAAATAATTTTTCTGTGTTTTTAGTCTAGAACTGAGTTTTAAATTTAATTTCATCACTGGAATATTAACCAGATAAAACAACTTGCCAAACTGGGTGCTCTCAGCAGAAACACTTCAAATAGGAAAAAGATTTTTCCTTCTCTAAAAAAAAAAAAAAAAAAAAAAAAAACAACACCACAAACCAAAAACACCCGAAAAACTAAAAAAAAAAAATTTAGAGGCCACTCTGTTATTACAGATTTCAAATACATACCTAAAAAACTGAACCCAGCCACAAAAAAAAGAAACAAAACAAAGAAAAACTTTAAAAAAAAATCAGATTTTTTTGCCATTCCTTTTCTTCAAAGTAAGAACAGACATATTTCCCATATACTAATTCAGCCTTCTCCAGCTCACTAAATCAGCT